CTAACTGCGGTATAGGGTATATCCCGTTCTCGCATAAGGATTTGATAGAAGCCATCCATCAAATCCATGGACGAAAAGATGGTACTCTTTGACATACCATCAATGATTACGTCCTTCCTCGGTATCGGCGTCTGAGCCGGTACCGTTGCAGCGTTCAATTTGTTGAACGCGTGCACTATCCGCGACCCTCCTGTTGCTTTTAGCACACAGAAGGTCGGAGAGCTATGTGGGGAAGTTGATTCCCTCACATGACCCGCAGCTAAACGATCGGCAAAGAACTTGTCGATCGCAAGTACTTGTTCACGAGGCAGTGGCCACTGCTTCATGACACAGTACTTCGAGCCTGTTTTAAGCTCGACCTCGTGTCGAATACCTTTATCCTTCGGTAATTCGCACGGAATAGCTTCAGGGAATACATCCTTGAATTCAACCAAATCTTCATAGAGAGGATTTGTCATGAGCGATTCCCATGATTGGGAGTCATATCGCTCAATTCGTGTCTTTTCATCGAGGACACTCTTGTCCATAGATGAACTACTGAGAACTCTCTCGTTCTCAGTAAACACTGTTGCTGACCTTATGTCGGCTACACACTCGTCGTCAGCGACGAGTATGCAGATCTGCTTGACTTTGCCACTACGCAGATCACGCAAGAACCTTTTATGTTCGAGCGTTGGCAACTGAGTGATCTCCGAAGTTAACTTCGGAGGCGCAATCAGATCAAGTGTGTAAGCGCCTACACTTGATCCGTCATTGACTAGGACATTCAATGTCTCTGTCATTTCCTGGGGACTTATTCCCTCAGGCTTCGAAGGACTTATTCCTTCGGCTTCCCGGGGACTTATTCCCGCGGGTTTCGGGGAACTTATTTTCCGCCGTATCTGTAATTTTGGGACTTATTCCCTTTACTTCCTCTAGCTGGGGTTGCGCAACCACAGCGAGATCCTCTATGAAAGACTCTCCAGTCGATCTAGGATTATCGTTTCGCTTAACCTGAGCGATCGATTGTTTCTCTTCTAGATGTTCCCCGCTAGGGATACATCTTTAGCCCGGTCCACTCGACTTATTCGAGTGGTGGACCTTCGGCGCAGCCTGTGTTTCCTCACAGCCGCCGGAACTTTGCTCCGAAGTGTAACCGTTTGTCACACTAAGGTTTTGTGCAGTCGTACTAACGACCGCATCACAAGTGAGGCCATCGCACTCACTCGTAGTACATCCACACGCTTGTGGACGCTCCAAAACGTTCATCAGATGGCCATCTGATATACAAGCGGCAGGCATCGTTACTGTTCGATGTTGCTAGTTTACTCGTGGTTCGTACCTTCTGAGCCACGGTATTCCAAGGATGACATCAAATTCGTCATCCAAATCCAATACGATAACGTCATCATCATATTGGGTATCTTCTAGCGTATAGTGGATCTTCACTATACGCTTCATGACGGTTACGGATGCGCCTGTCGCAAGACGTACCGTCATCCTCGTAGGAGGTGTGTCACATTCACTGAATTTAAAGTGACCATATTCTAGCGATTGGCGTCGAACAAAATTGTTGGACGCCCCACAATCGACTAGAGCTCGAAGGGACAACTTATTCGTCACTTCGAGTTTCAAGGTAATGAGTGAGACCTCATTACCTAGAGCAGCAACGCACAACGTTTGTGTGTTGAGAGGAACTTTCATCAAGAGGCCTACAAATTCTCTTGACGTTGCTAGACCAGTAGGGTGCTCCGCACCTACTGATCCTGTCCGTTTTTTTGACGGTCCATCCCGTTGTTGCGTCTTTGCACCAACTGCGGACCCTCGTCCCTGCCCCTTTCTCATGGGTGGACGGTCACTACGCCCAGTGTCGCGAGACACTGGACGAGGGGAACTACACTCGTAAGCGTAGTGCCCTGTCTTTTGGCATCTGTTGCATCTCTGCAACTTCTTGTAGTCTGTAGAGCGAGCCTTCTCGCTCTCTACATAACAGAGTTCCATCGGCTCTGGACATCCGCTGTCATATCGTCTCGGTTGACGATATGATGTTGAGCTGGCGCGAGCCTGTCTCAGACTGAAGTCTTCCTGCTCCGCAATGGATATGGCTTGTTCTAGTGAATCTAGTTCAAGCCGGAACAGGTGAGTCTTGACGGGACCATCCGCAAGACCCTGCATGAACACCGAAACCAACGTGTGTTCATCCACCGGATTGGAACTTATACAACTCGTGAGATGTCGTATATGTTGCGCGTAAGCGTGCACATCACGCTTACCTTGTTTGAGCTTCAAGAGTTCGGTTCGAGCTCTGAACTCAGCTCTAGGCGGTTCAAACGTTTGTCTGAGCCGCGACTTGAAGACTTCCAACGACCCAAACGCGTATGGGTCGTGCAACTTGAGCCCCAGTGCCCAAGTATTGTCACGTCCTGCCAGATTTGACTGGGCAAATGCAACTTGCATATCCCCGTCGTCGATGCGACGCGCCCTTATGGCGTCATCCAATTCGACGAACCATCTCAAGAGGGAGTCTTCTTCGACCCCCCTATACTTGGAGATGTCAATCTTCAAAGTCTCGGTTCGACGCGAGTGCATCGACCCACCAGCAGCAGCCTGCTGCTGTCTCAACAGTTCAAACTGTTGAGCACCCTGTTCTCTCAACAACTCTGCTTGTTGGGAACCTTGTTGGTGAAGCAAGGCTACTTTCTCGCGCTCTGCGTCAAGTTCATTTTGAATGAACTTGGCGATAGTAGCAAGTTGGGCATCTCTATTGAGAGCCTCTAGCATGACGCTAACAGCATAGATGCCCATGGTCGAACCCATTCGTTCAACCGCATCCCATTCGACATCGCTCAAATGGGAGTAGCCGTCACGCGTAGCGTGAAAGCTTTGGTCATCTTCATCATCCAACATATTCATGTTGGATGTGAACGCGGTCCTTGGACGGACTACGAAGTGCTACCAGGTGTAACGGGGCACCCTGAAGCTTGTACTGGTGACAGTACAAGCTACTTATTCTGATGACAGAATAAGGCGGTGCCTCGTAACTTCACGTACACTCGTACGTGCAGAGGAAGACGGTAAGAAGAAGCGAGTACTTGGTTAAAGTAAAAAGTAGAACTGTATTTATAATAGTTAATGTCTGCAATAAATCACCATTTATCTTCATCTAACTATGTCTAAATACAAACGTGTAAATCAATTATCTGCTCACCACTCATTGCGTGCGTCTGTAGTGGCGCGCCTTCGTTGGTTGATATAATGGCCTATATCAACCAATTAGGAACTACTCGTAAGTGCTACAGAATATTTGTCCTTATGACAATATTCTGAGAATATAACTCTTATAGTTATATTCTATTAAAAATTTATTATAAATTGTTATGTAACGATTTACCCCGCTACAATCTCCCTGTTTACACCGTTTAATGTCAATATCATGTGACGGGCTATCTTGTTGCACAAATTACATTATTTAACCAGTACATATGCGAAGTTAGGCTAAGAGAGAAGATTTCTTCAGCGCTTCGCCCTGCTACGTTCAGTCGTGCATTTCGTCAGCTGCACACCCGCAACCACTTCTTCAGTAACTGCCTATTCTTGTCAACTTCTGTTTCCCTGGACGCTGTGAACCACGTAAAGATGATCGACCCCGGTACTTCACGCACTTCAAGAGGAATTAGGCGCCCAAATAATAGACTTACAATGGTTTCGGCTAGGCTAGCCTGCTTTTCACCCAACAAGACTCTTTTTTCACAGGAAGAAATCAGTGCCCGTGTTACGGGGCCACACTAGCCATTGGCTAAATTGGTCAAATTCCTCCCATAAATGATATGGATGAATGTGTGTGACCTTAGATTTTGTATCAGCGAGAGAATATCGATGGATCGATATTCCCATGTTTACGGTACTTACCGTGTACGTACTTTGTACCTTTATCATTTGATGACTGAGTGATGTGGCAACCATCCATTTAGTTCGAATACTAGTATTTGTATTAGTTCTAGTTTAGTATAATATAGGGCACACAAAGTAGGATTTTTCTTGATATAAAATCTAAATAAAACTCAGTTCTCATTTCGAGCAGAAGTCCCTAGACTCCCCCCTTTTCGCACATTGTGCCCTGCAGTTCCTTAGAACTGCCGTAGCTCAGATATTCCTTAGACTCCTATTCCCCTGCGCATTGTGCTTGTGGTTCTCTAGAACTACACAGTAGTTGAGTTGTTAGCTCGTAGAGTCGACCCGAGTTCCGTAGAACTGGGTGACTCTTTAGACTGATATATTAGCTCCGTAGAGCTAACAGGATGTCATCCGTAAGCCGTTGGCTTGTTAAATAAGTCTTCCTCTGAATTAAAGAGCTGTGTAGCTCCGCTACACTTGGTAGCCCTTGTAGTCAATCCTACGCCTGAGTCGTTTCGACTTATTCTCCGGAAGAGATGGAGGGTCTTGACTACCTCTCTGAGACTTAACGCATCGCGCTTGATAAGATTAGATCGTTTAAGGGGTCGAGCGGGTCGAACAAATTGTGGCCCAAGGCCCGGAAGTGCTTAATGCTTGTCTTGATGCATTTATGCAGTTTGAGGCTACGCTGATAAGGCAGATCTACGACCATTTAGCCTCAGACGTACCTACACGGTACTTTCCAGCGCCTGACAGTGAGTCAAATACTAGTCCGCTCACTCTTAGCGTCGAGACTTTCGAGGGGAAAGAGGGGAAGGTCTCCTCCTCTGGATCCGAGAAATCAATATGGCTATTGATGCCTCCTTGCTTCAATCGGAGCGACAGAAAGTTGGCCTAGCCATTTCTAAGCTCGGTAGAAGGAGCCAAAGAATGGGCTCTTACCTGTTATACGTCGGTTAGCACTGCGTTTCCCACATGGGATTCACTTAAACGAGAGATGTCTCAGGTGTTCGCGCCACCGAATCAATCGTATCGTGTTCACTTTCGATTCCTAGCCGTTAGGCAGAAAAAGATAGAATTTTTTTTTATCGGACTTTGTTTAAGAGTTGCAAACTCTCATAGCTGCTATGCAGGTGGACCCTCTTCCAGAGCAAGTCCGTGTCACCATTTCTATGGAGGGCCTTCGTACGGGAATCGCGAGGACGGAAGTCTTCCGCGTCCACCCCTCAACGTTTGAAAGGGACGTAGACATAGCGTTAAATGCTGACTTCAACTTTAAAGCCGCTCGCTTTGGCTATAATGGGCATGCCCGAAGATCAATTGACGGGGCTGAGCCCATGGATCTCAGCCATGCTACAGAAGAAGAGAGAGATTTTCTGGCTGTTGAACAGCAACGCAAGATCCGTAGATGTTACATGTGCGGGAGCACCAAGCAGTTGCGTCCTCAAGGATCACTGCGGAAGCCGCGTCAAAGTCGGCCGAGCCGCGATCCGCATCCTGACCCGAAGCGGTACGGAGCGGGAAAACGGCAACTTTTAGTAGGCGCAGGGCTCCCTACTGGGGAGTAACTAGGTTCTGCCGAATCTTTAGGTGGTAAAGATAGACAGGGCTTAGCCCCAGACGGTCTTGTGGAAGTTTTTACGAGACGTAAGTATAAGCCAGTTTGTTAGTGGCCTCGGCTTCTATTAAGGGCGTTAAAAAGCCGTGGTCAAATTTAATTGACTCTGGAGCGTCAGGCAACTATGCTCGACGCCGATCCCTGAAGGGATGTCAGCCATATGCTGAGGTGCTGATATCGCACAAGGGTGATGTTTTCACTGTTCGCTTAGCAACAGGTACTCATTCCACCGTACCTAAAGTTCTGTTGAACTTAGGTGTGAAATTTTCAGATTTCGATAGTATCGAACGTTGTCTTGTCCTGGATTTGGACTCGAGATATGATCTCATCCTTGGGATGGCTTGGCTGGAACGCCATAAATTATGGATTGACTGGAGGTTGAAGACCTTAGGCGCAACGCGTAATGTTCCTTGTGAAGCTTTGGAGAGTCGTGAACCCACCTTTGCTAGGCAACAAAGGCGCTATTAGCGCGCGCCACTGACGGAGTCTGTCAGTGTGCTGGACAATGGAGTGTCTGAGCTAGTTAGCTCTGATGTCATTGACAATGGTGAAACGGCACGTCTTCCGTTGAGTGACACTATTAATGACAGTGAATCACTGAATGCTGGAAGCATTGATGGCTTAAAGCCGAGTCATCCTGTGAGTGATCCCTGTTATGCATGTGCAATGGCACGCACTCCACTGAGTGAGGTCGGCCGTGATGGCACCCACTGGATGTCGGTAATGACATTATTGGCAATATGCCAAGGCATCCAGGGCTATCCCCGAATGGTGCATGTACAGTGGTACGTACTCCACTAAGTGAGGTCGGCCGTGATGGTACCCCACTGAATATAAGTAATGAAATCGTTGGTGATTCACCAAGAAATCGAGATCCATGCTCATCTGGTGCAAGTATAGTGGAGTATTATCCACTCAGTGAGGTCGGCCGTGATGGCACCACACTGTATGCCAGTAATGATATTGTTGGCGATATGACACGGCATCAAGAGCCATGCTCATTTGATGTAGGTATCGTGAAAAAAACACATAATGAGGTCGGCCGCGATGGCACCACACCTATTGTCGATAATGACTTTGGCTCTCAGAGAGAGAGCAGGTTGAGGTTGAAGATGCTCTTCACCTCGTGGAACCGTACGTTCCTAACACGTTGAAGTGTTCAGTCTCTGCACAGAGACGACAGCGACGTCAGATGGCGGCTGTGAAAAGAAAGGTTTTTGCCATGACCCAGAAGGACACTAGTGAACAGTTGTACACGTTAGCCAATGGGGTGTCGGGTGCGATGGATGGAGAAGTTGGCCCCGAGTCCCTCCCATCGATTAATGCTCTGCTAGAGCTATACGAAATGTTTGTAGACTAATTTCATTAAGCCTTGAAGGCTGGTGCTTTTTCCGATTTGGTGGTCCTTAGACCTATTCTTGAGTTGAACTTGTCATCCCTTGTAGATGAGACAGTCCTTGAGGACATTAATGTTGCACTCAGTTCTCGCATTGGATCTGTTATTTGAATAATCCTTCGGATGCCTTCTATCATTTGGTATAGGAATTTCGGGACGTGGTGTGTCATGATCCACCATCCACTCTACCTCCAAACAGAGGTGTGCGTCATGAAAATGACCTGGTCCCCGGGACCAAATACTGTGTCACACGGCAATTGCCATTGTCAAGGAACAGGGTGACGCCATTGACGAGTTCTTTCGTGCAAAGCACGCGGCATGCATGGTGCGGGACAGAAAATCTCTAGACTCGACACCGACATTATGTTTCAGAAAGCCCAATAAAAAGTGGAGTTTTGTGCATGCTTACAATAAGCTCAATGCGGCCACTATACCGACGCAGACACCTATTCCTAAAAGGTTGTTCTTCATAACGCTATGGTGGGTTGCAGCATGTTTAGCGTACTCGACTTAGTCGATGGTTATTACCAATTGCTCATGCGAGCGAGTGATATTCCGTTCACAGCGGTTAGCAAGCCAGGCCATGCTTTGGGAGTGGCTTATTATGCCTCAGGGGCTTGTTATGCCTCAGATTTTTTTATGCCCCCGCAACCTTTAATCGTCTCGTGACGCAGTTGTTCCACCCTCATAGAGGATATGCACAAATGTATTTTGATGGCATTTTTGTCCATAGCCGTGCAGAATAGGGAATAAAATAAATCTGGAAATCACTTTGAGCATTTACGAGCGGTGATCAGGTGCATGCGCAGCAACAAGTTGTACAAATGCATGTAAGTGCGTTTTTGGTGCTGGAAAAAATTCCTTTCTAGGGTGCTTCATTGGAAAGCGCGGCCTACGGGCAGATCCCGCTAAGGTAAAACCTTGTGGATTGGACGGTTCCGTCCAGCCCAAAAGACTTGCGTAAATGGCTTGTATTAGCCAATTACTTACACAAGTACAGTGCAAACTATGCCGACATGGCAAGGCCATTAACCAACCTTTTTTAATAGGACGCGGTTTGGTGTTGGGACTCTGTTCAGGCACAATCTCTTTAAGATGTTACGGAGAGTCTCCTCCATGCTCCAATTTTGGCTTTGCCTGACCCGGATCGACCTTTCAGTGTCGTCTGTGACGCATCAGATTTTGCCATTGGCAGTGCATTGTTGCAAACTGATGTCGATGGACATGAGCGCGTCATTGCGTATGAGTCTCGCCAGCTAAGAGCTGCTGAAATGGACTATCCAGTTCATGACAAGGAGTTACTTGCAATGAAGTATGCTCTTGTCGAGTTCAGAGTACATTTACTTGGCTCCAAGCCGTTTGTAATCTACACGGGTCATGCGTCGTTGCGCACTGCGAGCCAGTCGCCTTATCTCTCACAACGTATGACCCGTTGGCTATCATTCTTTGCTGAGTATAACTTCGAGGTGAAGTATGAACCAGGGAAGCGAAATGCTTTGGCAGATGCGTTATCACGCAGGACGGATTATGAACTTGCTCGTGTATACCAAGAATGATCAGTGTGTCGAGTTGTTACGCGCACTCGGTTGTGATGAGATTAAAGACTCGAACACTAAATTGTCGGCACGCTCGCGTGCAGGGCTACATCGATATTCTTTCGATCATGGCCTCATGTGCTCTAGCACGGATGCGGCGGATACTCCGCGCATCGTAGTACCTCGTGATGAGTAGTCAAAGTACCGTATACTCTTTGAGGCGCATGATACAGCTTTGAGCGGTCATCTCGGTCGAGAGAAGACCTATGGATCGGTCAGACAACACTATTGGTGGCTTAAACTATATAAATGGGTGAGCACATATGTGCGTACGTGTGAAACGTGTCAACGGGTCAAACCCTCCGCTCAGGCGGCTGCACCTTTGACGAGTTTGCCTAGACCCACGGGTTGTTGGGAATTCATCAGTATGGGCTTTGTGTTTGGTTTTCCAACAGATTTGGACGGCAACGCTGGTATTGTGGTCTTTGTTGACCATTTGAGTACGGTGACACATTTAGCGGCTGTACCGGCTTTGAATGGTGGTGAACGTACAGCACAGCTATTTATCGATCGCGTGTTTCGTCAACACGATTTGCCTTTGACATTTGTTACATATTGCGATCGTCGTTTTACGGGGAAGTTTTTGAAGCCCATCTTTAAGGTGCTCGGCACCAGATTGGACATGTCCACTGCGAATCATCCGCAGACCGATGGTCAAACTGAACGCGTTAATCGTGTCATTGGTGACACTTTGCGCAGCGTTTGCGCAGATACGCCTCGGCGTTGGAGCTCTATACTTCCAGTGGTCAAATTTGCCATGAACAGTTCAGTACATGCCTCGACTGGCTACACCCCGTTCAATGTGAACGACCATACCCATCCGCGCGTCCCGTTGACGCTACCACTCCGTAATGTAGGTCTTGGTGGGGGGGGATTGCCGATCGGCTTGATGATGTCAGCCCTGCCACTGTTGAGAATCAGGTTGGTGAGTTACTTGCAACAAGATTAAATGTCCTACGACATGTACGAGACGCAATGGCTGATAGCCAATAAAACAAAAGGAACAAGCAGATACCAAAGGCAGAAATTGTATTGAAAGTTATGAGGTAGAAGACCAAACCTTGCTAAACGCTAAAAATCTACCTACATTTGTAGTGTCAGCTTGTTTTAGAACGAAGTTGCGTCCGCGCTTCATTGAACCTTTTACGGTCGTGTCCAAGAAGGGCCTTGCAGCATTAGACTTCGGTGGGCGTTTTCGCCTCGGGGCTGGTGGCCCATGTTGCCAAAGTATGGCGTGACGCTTGACAAATTAGTTCTTCCACGCTAGGTGGAGTGAACGTATGTTCACTGTGTCGTGGAAACATTGGCAACACTTCTGACTTGCGCCGTGCGCTTGCCGCTTGATCGAGCATGCAATGTTGCTCCTCATCAAGCGAGTTAATGATAATGGATGTATCCATGTGGGACATTGCTCTTAGCGCTATTAGCGCAGTCGCGGCACTACGTTCGGGGCACGGATTAGGTGCCGGATGGGGAATGTCCCCACGCACAGGTGTGCTCGGCTTGAATTGCTCCTCCCCATCTACTTTGGTATCACTACCACTGTCATAGTCCACGTCCTCGACACCAAGGAAATCGGCTAGAGCCTTTTCTTCCAGGAGGTGTCCAGGGCGGTCCATGTGAGTGTGTCACTATTTAATAGGTCTCAATGGGAGAATGAGTCGTGTGACGTTTGTGGTAACGTCAGTCTGGTGGGGGGGGTGTAATGGGGTCACACCAGCCATTGGCTAAATTGGTCAAATTCCTCCCATAAATGATATGGATGAATGTGTGTGACCTTAGATTTTGTATCAGCGAGAGAATATCGATGGATCGATATTCCCAGGTTTACGGTACTTACCGTGTGCGTACTTTGTACTTTTATCATTTGATGACTGAGTGATGTGGCAACCATCCATTTAGTTCGAATACTAGTATTTGTATTAGTTCTAGTTTAGTATAATATAGGGCACACAAAGTAGGATTTTTCTTGATATAAAATCTAAATAAAACTCAGTTCTCATTTCGAGCAGAAGTCCCTAGACTCCCCCCTTTTCGCACATTGTGCCCTGCAGTTCCTTAGAACTGCCGTAGCTCAGATATTCCTTAGACTCCTATTCCCCTGCGCATTGTGCTTGTGGTTCTCTAGAACTACACAGTAGTTGAGTTGTTAGCTCGTAGAGTCGACCCGAGTTCCGTAGAACTGGGTGACTCTTTAACTTGATATATTAGCTCCGTAGAGCTAACAGGCTGTCAGCCGTAAGCCGTTGGCTTGTTAAATAAGTCTTCCTCTGACTTAAAGAGCTGTGTAGCTCCGCTACAGTCCACCATCGGCTTACTGACTATTGTGCATCTTCAAGTTAAATCATTACGATCCATACCCCCTCCCGCTATCTATATGCTGGCATAACACATTCTACGTAGGGACTTATATCTGTTATCAAATGTGCTATGCGCATCGAAAATCGCTCTGTACAGTGTGATCGCCATACTTCTCCTATTTTTTTCGGTACAGCACGCCTGGTGGACTATATACTCGATCTCATTGCAAGGTCGAAGAGTTTACTCTCGAACGCAGCTCTCTCGTTAAATTGATACTGTCGAGTATAACCCAGCGCCGTCTTTTTCTGGTCTCGCTGAACCAATCTCGACAATTTCGTGTTGATCATACTCTGTCTGAAGTCCATCGGGTTTTATTACTTTGTGACTCTCGCCTCTACACTACATTTTTAAGCATACATCGCAAAGGCTTCCAAGAACATAAGCCATGACATATAAATACAGAGCGCTTAGCCCGTGGGCTCACCTATCTTGGCATGTACTTGTGGAGGTTTTACACCGTATCCTCAAGCAACGGGTATCGAGCTAAACCGCTAACTTATTGTGTAAATGCTATGTCTGCCGCGTGGCATCTGACCGATCTTTGATGTGGTGCAGTTGCAAGTCCGTGAAGGAATTCGAAAGCCACGTACCATAGCGGCGAAGAATCGATCGAAAGAGACTGGATTGGTGCATCAGAATTGAGCATCAACGAAACATTCACAGCGGTAATCATACACCACGGTACGGTACTCTTTTGAACTACGATAGCTAGTATCATCGGCATCCGATTCTAAAGACGGAGATGTAAAATATGAGATCGTTGGCACCCTCGATGACGTCAACTTGCTAAAGAGTAAGCTCGCAGCACATTGACAGGACTACATTCGTCTATGATGACAATGCCTAATTCGACTCCAATGTCACAGGCACATATCGATCGCTAGTTTAAGCTGTTCACAGCCTTCGAAGCTCCTTTAACGTAGATAGCTGCTATGGACTTCCCATTAAAAACACCCGGGACACCATTCGATGACATCCATGACTTTACAATCTACAGTACAAGCGATTTCATCAGTGAATAAAATGACATGGCGACACCGTCATACATACCGAGCTAGGCATTGTACGAGTCAAACAACTCAGATGCGCCTTGTTCTTTGCTCCGTTGTCTCGTGGTATCAGATCGAAAAAAGGAAAGCGGTCGTAATGCATGATCCGAGCCGTACCTAACCGTACAGTATCAGATGTTTCTGTCAAAACCAGCTAAGCACATTTTGTAAAAAAATCCCCCTTGAAAAAGTAAAGGCATGCGGTTTACACGCTAAGGGCAGGAAATCAAATAGAGCTGCCTCTATTTTAGATACCAGAGCGATAGCAAACTTGGGTTTAATCTAAGATGTGTACCATAGACCAAGCTACAATACACAACTGATGCGATTGGTCGTGTGGGGATGTCGTCGTGGCTGGACGCTATGTGACAGCTGACTAAGCCAGGTACTGCATGCTGTAGAAGGACGACAATACTTACACTTGCTCCATGTCGCAATTAAGAATGGCTAGAGCTGGAATCCTTTTGCAACAATAAGTCAAAGATGATGGGGTATTGCTGGATATGTTGCTAGACATATCCTAGAGGTGCATGTTCACAAAGATAAGTTGCATCGCATAGGATACCTGTACCGTACCATCACCAACGTCTAGATAGCACAACGGCTACTGTTGTACGGATGGACGTAACGTATTGTTGTTCTGCAATAGCTACTCGTGTAATGCGAGATCGACTACAGGTGTGACGGAGATGCATTAATCTTACTGAATGACGCCCATGCTTGAACGTACAACATGCAGCAGGGCGAACACCTAATGCGACAGTCGACGCATTGTACAATCATCAGATCTGAAAAAAATGCCGCGAGTGCTATACTTTGCAGCAATTTCTCATTTCGATGCTGGTTGCAGCTCCTCCTTCACACGCGGGTACTCACTCTTCTTCAGTTGCTGCTGTGGCTGTAGTTGTCAAAAAGATACCAAAGACGAGAAAGCAGAGCCACCTAAAATCGGTAAGCTAAATAGTTCCTTCCTATTTGTCCAAAATTTTACCAACATCACAATCCAAGAAATTTACATTTGTCATGGACACAATCGTTCTCGAGTTCCACTTGCTCGTGAGCGATTTATCCTCCTATTCATGCCACTTGACGTGACACGAAACCGCGACCCACCCGTTTTTCCAGCGCCTGCTCGTCTCCGCATCACGCTCCAACTCCATCATCATCCCATCATGGCAAAAAGTACCGCACGCGACAGCAGCGGCACTACGACTGACGGCTTCACGCTGCAATCACATATCACTTTCTCCTTCGCTTCTGCATCAGCGAATATCACGCACGCCACCTCAAACCAATCACTGCATTGCAGTCCTTCCTCACCCATTTTTCCCACTCATCCCAAACCCGCTTTTCCTCCTTTCCATCAGTCTTCATATCGACTTTCTCATCTCGTTGAGCACCATCCACATCATCGAGCCCACCAATGCAGTTAGTTCGTGAGTGCATAGTAAGCCCGGCCACTCAGTACACTTGGGTCGATCTTCGAGCGCAGTGGTGGAATCGGGTACACGTTCGGAGCTTGGCCGTTTGCAACGGTCAGCGGCGGCAGACGAAAGACATCAGCACCACGTTGCTGTACAAACAGTTTCCGCCCTCCCACTTCAACATCGCGCATGGGCGACAGCGTCTTGTGCATGGACGTCGACGACAACGGTAGCGGAAGGCGGCTCTGCGCGTTCTGATAGCTCATGCCTGTAATAGCATTGAGTACACCTCCAAATTTACGCACGGGAAAGAGGCTTCCATCCGGCGAGGCACGTAACGGACTCAGCCGGACTTCGTTCTTCTGCATGCTCCACTCGGGACTGGCTTGACCAAAGCCGCTCGGGTCATTATTCCACTCCATCTTGCGGATTTTTCCCCTAAATTCCACCGAAGCGCACGCCGTGATCTCCTGCTTGACCCGCACTGGACTCGATATGTCGACCATCTCCACGTCAGGAGGAGACGACGGCATCGACGACATCAACCGAGGCTCCTGTTTCATGACCTGATGGGACGCCAGCTCAGCCAATCGAAAGAGCTCTCCACTACGACAAGCTTCGTGTCCAGCCACACCTGACAGCGACCGGGCAGGACTCACCGACGACGGATGCACCGCGTGGCTACTGCTGCAACTGCTGCTCATTTCGTCGCTTGAGACGTACTCGAGCGCTTTGTACAAGTTCTCCTTGGCCACATAGTGGTCGTACCCAGTCGCCACCCGTTGCCGCATGTGGCTGTCGTCACTCATGTGCTTCCGGCCTTTGTGACGCAACCCGCGTCGCCAGCGACTGATCTTCTGGCGGTACTTTTGCGCGTGGGTCATGGTCTGCCGCGTGGTTTTCGTGCCAATAAAGGCCGCAATGACCTTCCACGGACCAGCTGGGTACTTCTCCATGGCCTGCAGAAACTTCTCGTGCTCCTCTTGGGTCCACATCTTGAGCGGTTGGCTCTGCTTGGACGAGTAGACGGTCGTCCCGGCCTTGGCTTCCGTCGGCTTGATCCGGATCAGTCTGCCTTCGCAGTTGGTCATTTCAAAGAGTTCCTTGCGCACATTGGCGGAAATCGTCATCGGGCTGCTATTCGTCCGTCCACTTCGCTCCCTGTGACTCTCGTAGCTGCATGCAGTACAAAGCGAAGGAGGAGGGAAAGGAAGAAGTGGCGATCGTCGTCCTGTGTGGACCGTTGCGTTTGCGCCCGCTCCCCCGAGCGCCAGTTTAGACAAGCAGCGACGACGCGAAGAGCGAGGAGCGGGCCAATCGGACTTAAGCGAGACAACACACGAAATTACTGCCTCGCGGGAGACGAGACAGCTGGCGTGGATGCAGGACCACGCCTGGCTATGCGTGCCGTGGACGGACCTCGTTTGGGCACGAAGATCAAAGTGCGCATTGCCGGCCCGGTTCTGGCCGTGGCGACGTTGCACAAGCGCACGCGGGTTTCGAGCGGAAGTGGGTCGTCTTTTGCGGAGCGACTTCATACGGGTCAATTGTAATGTAGAAAAGACTTGGCGGGATGGCATTACGATACGAACTTGCACATGTGGTTTTCGATACTCCGGAGCCAACGAGCGATCACTTTGCGCACTTGTTTTCTCGTTTGCTCGTCGAGTTGAAGACGAAAAGAGACCGAACAGAACGAGTGGATTAGGAGACGCAGCGTCCTTTTTCTGTGCTCGCACATGCGCGCGTTTACATCGCGCGTTCTCTTGATTGTCGTGGGTTTTGTGGACACCATGAAGAAGTACTTGCTTTTTGTATCCGGCGTTTCGGCGGAGATGTGCTGCGTCTTTTGTAAGCCATCTCCGAGCCCCATCCGGATGTTGAGTCATAGGGCTGCTCCTTCCTTTTTTTCGTACGATTGAAGCGGCGATCCACGAGGTAGGATTATGAAATGTCCACACGAAGAGACTGTGGAGCTACTAGAAAGAGTAAAGGCATACCCACTTACTGTTCGCCCGGCGTAGTGGTGTGGTTGTTCGATAGACCTGCCGAGATAAACTCGCTCGTCTTACGAATGTATCACGAGCTAATTGAGTGCTGTACAAATATGAATCTGCTGCGCGTGGTAGCGCAGGAACCAAACCGGTTGCAGGTTTGCCGTCTGGCTTCTGAACCATCACATCGTGAAGTGTAGCTGACTTTCCCCGAGCAACACGTTTCGAACAAGCACGGACCACTTGACCTTTCCTCTCGTTGCCCACCATAAGATGATCGCTGGAGTAATGGATTGTCGAAACTGGCTCACAACTTCAGGCAACGGATCCGTGGTTGAGGTCAAGTCCGATGAGCCGACGACCCTCTTTTTGACCAGCTCTTGTGGGATCTTTAGCGTGAGCTTAGAGCGATTATGCGCGCGTCAGTCCGTCCCTGGACTCCACGTTCCTACATTTCCAAGTACTCTTCTCCACCATAATGGGACGAAGTCAACCATATCGTCCGTATAAAGCGTCACACGTCGCGTTTATCGAGACGCAGCTGTCCGCATCGTCGCGACCACATGAAGTCGATCCGAGCGTATGGTCGAAATTGAGTTCTGTAGCCGTACAGTCTATGGACGAGACCCTACCAGCGGCTTTTGCTGAGCTCGATGGGTACGTGCGCTCTATAAAAAGGCGCAGCAAAATGTGCTCTTGTTGTAGTCACGGCAAGGGCAACGAACTGCACTCAGCATTACAAGGCAAAGCAAGCTACCGACTGCGGCAGTGACATCTGACCTCGACCAGAGATCTTGCCTCAGGGTGGCATCTGAGCTCGATCAAGTCAAAAAGCGAATTGCGACACCACTCGACTGCTGGCAGGACATTCGTCGCACGCAGGCATTGTAACCGCATGTGCAGGTGGGCGTTTGCTAAAAAATCAACTGTTCCATACCGTCTCGTCCGAACAATGGACGAGCATATGCTATGGTTGCCCAAGGCATCCTTGTAGTTACGGTACTATACCCCACGTCAGCTCTAGGTTCGTCAGAAGAGACACTATAGCTTGCCACAACTCACACAATGTTCCTGCGACGCCGGATGCCTTAAATTTCGACCGCGGACCCGGGTCGGAACGTCGTCAAAACGTCGAGCTGATTTTGTACGCACGCTGAAAGATCCAGTGCGTTTCCTATCAATTCCACCGGGTTTCTAAAGCTGCTATGCTCCGGGCTAGGGGAGATTTGCGAAATGGGTACAGACAGCCCCCCCCCACACACACAAACACACACTGATTAGTCAGTCACCCTGAAGGGAATCCGGTACGACCGCGCGTCGTCATTCGCCATTAATCCCTTTGCCTCTGTTTTTGGTGGCCAGCAGCGATGACCATCTCCCGCAACGTGTACAACCAGCTCTTCGAGCAAGCGCCCGACGCGTCCGATGGCAGCAAAGAGAAGGTCATTCGTCTGCGTCCGACCGAGGCGAAAGCAGGCGCCGTGGTTATGTCGGCCAAGAGCAAGATCCAGATGTGGACGAAAGACGAGCACGAGCGCTTCCTCGCGGCTTTGGAGAAGTTCCCTGCTGGACCATGGAAGAAAGTGGCAGATTTCATCGGTACCAAGACGCCGAGACAGACGATGACTCATGCGCAGAAGTACCGGCAGAAGATCCACCGGCGGCAGCGAGGGCTGCGCAACCAGAAGAAGAGCAGCGAGGGGTCGGCTGCGCTCAATGGCAGCAGCACTAGCAGCTGTAGTGCCAGTGTCAATAGCAGCAACACTGAGAGTCCAGCGGTGCTGCTTGACAAGGAGACAACACTGAAGGGAGAGCCTAAGGATCTCATTGTGTCGCCCTACGGCGTGGCCGAACTGCAGCTGACACCAGGCTCGGAGGCTGCACTGGCAGCGGCAGCAGGTGCGACAAATGACCAGCTGCTGAACATTTTGGCTCAGCAGGCCACGACGATCCACGACAAGCCAGAGCTCATGGAAATGGACGAAGCAGGGACAATTTCAGTAGATGATGCCGCCGTGAAACCAGATGCTGCAGTTGTAGCTGAAGCTACAGCTACAACTGCAGACGACTCTACGAACAATAACTTGCCTTCGCTAGCCGAGATTCTGCACTTGAGCGGCGGTGAAGGGCAGACCGCGGCTGCTGGGGAGACAGAAGTAGCGCCACCAGTGAGTGAGGCAAAGACAGAGGCGAAGCTCAAGGCCGAGGCCACCGAGATCGAGCCAGGGCCGCAGGATGTGCCAGAGGAGTGCAAGTGTAACTGCAAATGCAGTGTGCATGGCGGTAGAAAGATAGTTGTGGAAGTGTCGGCAACGCAGCCCCGATCCGAGGATACCTGAAAGTACCCGACGTTTCAACGTTGGTCTTCGTGCGTGGAAGAGAATAGCAGGCGACGTCGTAGCTTGTCTTCGCCGAATAATTATTGAGAACAGAATTTCCCAGCTATGTTGCAGCGGCTTAACTTGAAGCCTCTTGCTGGAAAATCCGCCTGCATCCATGAAAAACGCAAGCGCGGCTATACGTGTTATTTAGACCGCATTCATGGATTTTGCGTACGTTTGTACAATGGCGTCCGTCCTTCACGACGTGCCCGGAGTATGTCTATGGCACAACGACAACCACCTCCGATTTGTGCTCATATGCTTTACTAGTAAGTACAAAGAGTACGGCACATTGTGCAGTCAGCTGTACTCAGCGTACAGAGCGCTAAACCTCAAACTTTATCTTCGGACAAGCGAATCATGTTGGAAACACATCTACTGAGGCGATCGTCAATCGCGCCTGCTTTAGTGGCGGCGACTTATATTTGATAGTGCAACAACTAACCAAGGCCGTTTCACCGGATCGGTACCGTACACTTCGACGTAAATCGGAGAAGTTAAAATTGATCTTGAACCATGTTTGCCTCAACTTGTACCAGCTCTCTCGCAGGGCGATGATAGCCTTTGTTTCGCATGTCTCAGTCCGGAAGGAAACACAAGTGATGGAGACGCCACAATGCGATCGATTACCTCGCATCTTGACACGTAACAACAAGTGGTATGCACAAAGTATAGATTACTTTCGATTGCGCGCTGTCACGAGCTAGACATCGGACTTACAGGTAGAGTAAATGTGGTGATACATCAAACCTGTTTACCTATTATTGTGAGGTGTTTATGATAGCGATGTCGACTAGCCCTACGCTTGACAATGCACCAACCTTCGCGCATCGGAACTTTTCGTTCCATTACATAACTAGCTTTCTAGAATCCTGTACTATTATCAAGGGCCATACTGGCATCAGAGAAATGAGCATACAGCAGGACAAAACTACAGTTTCCACCAGAATAACAACGGTCTCAGAGTATTGTAGATTCTACCGTCTTGACGGATATTTGGGGCAAGCCGATCCTTTCGTCTGAGTTTTGTCAAAATTGAAGTGCTGCAGGATGAAGCAAGAAAGCCACATCTGAGTTAGCGATTGACAGACAACTGAGTCTCGGACAGTAGTAAAGTCTTACATAGACATTCCAGATGTAAGTACTGTAATATACGTACATTGTTGATACAACACGTTATTCCGAATAGGAGATACTTGCGCTCTAACCGATTGAAAATCGCCGACCTTCTCACTATCCGGTACAAATAAAAAGCTCGTTTGATTAACAGTGCACAAATCACATAGTAGGTCGGCCAGATTTATAGTATTTATCACAGTGTGACACGATACTATCGTATATTGCTTGTTGTAAATGTTCGGATAATGTCGTTGATACGCCCATCGACCAAAAGGATATGTTGCTCTCAATCGATACTGCCGATTCTTTTGGCGAAGATTGGAACGCAACACGAAAACAAACTGGATGTCTAACGATTTTCTGTGTTAGCTCACTGCATCGGCTACAGTTCTGAAGTTCAACATGTAATCTCCAAGTGGATCACCAATCTCATCTTCTGCACATAAGCTGAAGCAAAGGCATCATGGGGCTTCTGTTTTCGTCTACAAAATGAAGCCAGGGCAAAGAGCAGCACAATAGCAGGCGAGCACTAGCTCCCAAGCCTGCACTCACGCACGCACACACACTCGCCTAGTCCACGTCTTCCACTGACGATCCACCAGCCTTCCGCTGGCGCAGTGTCGACGCCTCGTCGCCGCTCGCATCAATTTTGTTGAAACTGGCCAACACATCGACGACGTCGGCCTTCTCCTCTCCCTTTGCAACCTCTGCCGCCGTTCGTCCATCAGACGCCTTGACTGCAAGCAGTTTCTCGCACATCGCCGTCGAAATACTCGACAGCAGTGCCTCTGCCGCCTCCGGTCGTCCGTGGAACGCACTCCAATGCAGCGCCGTCCAGCCATCGCCATCCACTGCCAGCACATCAGCACCAGCGTTTACCGCCTTCCGAATAAACTCGTCCGTGTCGACAGGCGAGCCGCAGGCCACCATGAGCGCTGTCCACTGGTCCTCCTCCGTCTTGGCGTTCACTTTGTGCTTGACAATCATCCAGAGCGCGTCAAAGTCGGCATCTGCGCCAGCCGCCAGAGCTTCAGCAACAGCCTCCTCCGGCGTCACCGCCACCTGCTGACTCACCACGTTTGCGTCCATAGATGTTGAGGCTGCAGCTACCGTCGTCGTTGTTGTGTTGCCAGCCATTGCCGCTTCTGCTTCTGCTGCCGACTCCCCCTCTAGCCGCTCGTTCCAGATGCGGCCGTTCCGACGGCCGAGAAGATAGGCCTGGACGAGTGCATTGTCCCATAGATTGATGGGCATCATGATGCTCTGGATCATCACGACGTGGTTCACGCCCATTTTGAAGTGAATGAGCGACGAGATGCCAGCGCCAATGAGCGTCTGTTTAATGAACTCGTTCACTTTGGCCAGTTCATGGGCTTCATACGTTGACTCCGTGAGTTCTTCATAGTTGGGCGACTGGTCAAACGGCGACTTCACTCCGGGTACAAAGATCTTGCGCGTGTCGTGCTTGCGCTCAATGAGCTGCTTGAGGTAAAGCCCGACGAGCAGCGCCGTGGCTTGGCACACGAAGAAAGCCGTGCGGGCTGCCAGCAGCAGCGACTCGTTCTCAAAGTCGATCTTGCCCATGACGAAGATCAGGGGCAGCATGATCAACATGCGCATGGGGCTCTGCTTTCCAGTCATGATGACGAAGACGACGACGACAACGTGGCTTCAAAAAGGGGGGGAGAGAGAAGGAGGGAGGGAGGGAGGGAGAGGGGAGGACGGTCGAGATGGATCACAAAAAGCTTTGGTGGAGGTGGTGGACTGAGGAAAAAAGGGCGATCAGCTCCAACACTTGAGGTTGGTAGAAAGGGGTGAAATGAGCAGGAAAAAGGACGCGCGAGTTTGGCTCTGAGTCGGGCATTTCAAAGAGGTTTACGGGTCTCACTCAGGACGAACGATAAGAGTGCCCAGTAGAACGAGGACGCTCGTTGAGGATATTGCCTCTATAGCCATAAAGTGATGGCGGCAAAAAGTATGAGTAATGGCATTCGCTGCACGGTACGCACGTCGTGGTCTGGTCAACGTCAGTGGTCAGCGACTTGAAGCGCTAAACCAGCGAACATGATTACAGAATAGTGTACACTTCTTCCACAGCCCGAGGAACGGTTTCTGGTCTTGCAGGTTGCCAAGTGCACAAAGCGGATCTACTCCAGCCAAAAGGATCCACGCATTCGTTGGACATAGTCTCCATCCCGCTGCAAAACTCCACCAACAGTAATTCACGGAGTCGCGACAATCTGAAAAAACTGGAGATTCTTGGAGTTCACGGACAATAACTAGCCCCCTGTATCGTGTCGTGGTAGGAATACAGGTACGAGTCGTTGTGTGGACGAGCGAATCGATGCCCTGCATGGTACAAGCTCAAACTGTAGAACTCTGCCAGTGTATACGCAGACAACTTGCGCCTTGACATCGTTGTAAGCGAGTCGTTACCAAGCCGGTCGTCAGTACAGCCATGCTCGGATACGATTCAGCGCGGTGAGTTCGCTTTCTTGCGTACGGTCCCATTTGATATCCGTCCGAATTTGCGTTTCCACCTTAAAACTTGAACCTTTCGTTGCAGTGACATTCACTCCGTTCCGCATCACGGAGAACCGATGCCACGATCCACTCGCAAGGTTGCAGTGACCTTCACTCAGTTCCGCATCACGGCAAAGCATCTCGCGATCTCTGCCTCCTGTGTCACTGGTTGCTCCTTCAGGACACGTAAATATGCCGACAGCAGACGAAGAAATGACGTTGTGTCCTGTCGACCTAGAGATGCTCTGCGTGTCGATAACGATCCAGGGCATGGACATCGCCTCTAAGCTTAGAACCTATGCAATCTTTGCCGTACAAGGTCTTTGGGAACAATGCTCTCAAATGGCTACAATTCAAAAGATGCTGCAAGACAAGAGGTACTGTCCATGGTACATGCTGCAACAAAACCTTGGTCAGCGTGAGGCTCTAGTAAGCAAGCCGAACGTGCGACCTCCGCTTCCCCAGCCAGTCGAGCGTCGTGTACACTTGACGTCGACCACCGAGGACTTGGAGGACATCAAGACGCACCTGCAGCTCCTGCACGCAGCTCTAGACAATCTTCGGCAGAGAGGAGAGCGGATAAACGAGAACTTTGGTTGGCTCCAGAGGCTCGTCCAGGACATTCCGACGTGTCGCTGCGAAGCTCCACGAGATCGGTGCACCTCCTGCACACGGCTGCCGAAAGCAGGACCGTTGCTGGGACATTCGTGCAACATCAGAGCCAATCGCAGAGGCGATCGGCTCGGTGGATGTCCGACGATGCTGCAGGTGGACCGACTGGACGTGCCAATGTGAGCAGAACTTGCTCGTGACCAGATTCTTAACATGTTCGTGTGTGCTAAACGTTGTCTGAGGGAATGCGGCAGGAACGTGGTCAAACGGCCCACTGCTGTGCAAGCCTTTGGCGCTGCGCTCTTGGACCAACTTGTCAAAGCTGTGGACGAAGGCGAGTACGTCTGTGTGTGAATGTAATGCAAAATGAGGCGTGACGTGTGACGCTGTGTTACTAAAGCACGCGTATTGGCACACAGCGCACAGGGTCTCTTCTTGTTCGAGCAACAATCGCAGTTGTCTCAGATGCCTGCACCGGCCGATCACCTCGACACGCAGGATTCGGGGAAGCAAGCGCGGTTGGAAATGCAAGACGGCTTGGACACTGATCAGTCACCAACAAAGACCAACATCGCCCTAATGTACCAAGTGCTGGCCCGAGACGTCTAGCTCTGGCACGTCAACACACAGGTGATATCATGGCGCTGCTATGAAATAAACCGCAACGTCCGTCGATTTCACTATCAGATTCTCATTACCGCTATAAAGTCTTTTTGCTCGTGCTTTCGATAGGACCGAGATAAAAATTTAGCCTGCACTACGTGTGCCTTTGTTGAGTGCATTGTTCAAACAACATTGGTTGTGCACCGCAGATTCAAACAAAATGACTCGCCTGTAACGAGGTGAACCGTTACATAACAATTTATGAGAAATTGTTAATAGAATATAACTATAAGAGTTATATTCTCAAAATAATGTCATAAGGACAAATATTCTGCAGCACTTACGAGTAGTTTCTAATTGGTTGATGTAGGCCATTATATCAACCAACGAAGACGCGCCACGACAGACGCACGCAATGAGTGGTGAGCAGATAGTTAAAATGCACATTTGTATTCAGACATCGTTAGATGAGGATAAACAGTGGTTTATTACGGACATTAACTATGCTAAATACAGGTCTACTTTTTACTTTAACCAAGTACTCGCTTCTCCTTACCGTTTTCCTCTAAACGTACCAGTGTACGTGAAGTTACGAGGCACCGCCTCATTCTGTCGTCGGAATAAGTAGCTTTTGCTGTCATCAGTACAAGCTTCAGGGTGCCCCGTTACACCTGGTAGCACTTCGTAGTCCGTCCAAGGACCACGTTCACATCTAACATGAATATGTTAGATGATGAAGATGACCAAAGCTTTCACGCTACGCGTGACGGCTACTCCCATTTGAGCGATGTCGAATGGGATGCGGTTGAACGAATGGGTTCAACCATGGGCATCCATGCTGTTAGCGTCATGCTAGAGGCTCTCAATAGAGATGCCCAACTTGCTACTATCGCCAAGTTCATTCAAAATGAACTTGACGCAGAGCGCGAGAAAGTAGCCTTGCTTCACCAACAAGGTTCTCAACAAGCAGAGTTGTTGATAGAACAGGGTGCTCAACAGTTTGAACTGTTGAGACAGCAGCAGGCTGCTGCTGGAGGGTCGATCCACTCGCGTCGACCGAGACATTGAAGATTGACATCTCCAAGTATAGGGAAGTCGAAGAGGACTCCCTCTTGAGCGGTTCGTCGAATTAGACGACGCCATAAGGGCGCGTCGCATCGACGACGGGGATACACAAGTTGAATTTGCCCAGTCAAATCTGGCAGGACGTGCCAAGACTTGGGCACTGGGGCTCAAGTTGCACGACCCATATGCGTTTGGGTCGTTGGAAGTCTTCAAGTCGCGACTCAGACAAACGTTGAACCGCCTAGAGCTGAGTTCAGAGCTCGAACCGAACTCTTGAAGCTCAAGCAGGGTAAGCGTGATGTGCACGCTTACGCGCAACATATACGACATCTCACGAGTTGTATAAGTTCCAATCCGGTGGATGAACACACGTTGGTTTCGGAGTTCATGCAGGGTCTTGCGGATGGTCCCGTCAAGACTCACCTGTTCCGACTTGAACTAGATTCACTAGAACAAGCCATTTTCATTGCGGAACAGGAAGACTTCAGTCTGAGACAGGCTTGCGCCAGCTCGACATCATATCGTCAACCGAGACGATATGACAACGGAGGTTTAGAGCCGATGGAACTCTGTTTTGTAGAGAGCGAGAAGGCTCGCTCTACAGACTACAAAAAGCTGCAGAAATGCAATAGATGTCAGAAGACAGGACACTACGCTTACGAGTGTAGTGCCCCTCGTCCGGTGTCTCGCAACACTAGGCGTAATGACCGTCCACCCACGAGAAAGGGACAGGGACGAGGGTCCGCAGTTGGTGCAAAGACGCAACAACGGGATGGGCCGTCAAAAAACGGACAGGATCAGTAGGTGCGGAGCACCCTACTGGTCCAGCAACGTCAAGAGAATTTGTAGGCCTCTTGATGAAGGTTGTTCCCAACAAACAAACGTTGTGCGTTTCTGCTCTAGGTAATGAGATCTCACTCATTACCTTGAAACTCGAAGTGACAAATAAGTTGTCCCTTCGAGCTCTAGTCGATTGTGGGGCGTCCAACAATTTTGTGCGACGCCAATCGCTAGAATATGGTCACTTTAAGTTCAGTGAATGTGACACACCTCCTACGAGGATGACGGTACGTCTTGCGACAGGCGCATCCGTAACCATCATGAAGCGTATAGTGAAGATCCACTATACGCTAGAAGATACCCAATATGATGATGACTTTATCGTATTGGATTTGGATGATAAATTTGATGTCATCCTTGGAATACCGTGGCTCAGAAGGTACGAACCACGAGTAAACTGGCAACATCGAACAGTAACGATGCCTGCCGCTTGTATATCAGATGGCCATCTGATGAACGTTTTGGAGCATCCACAAGCGTGTGGATGTACTACGAGTGAGTGCGATGGCCTCACTTGTGGTACGGTCGTTAGTATGACTGCAAAAAACCTTAGTGTGACAAGCGGTTACACTTCGGAGCAAAGTTTCGGCGGCTGTGAGGAAACACAGGCTGCGCCGAAGGTCCATTACTCGAATAAGTCGAGTGGACCGGGACAAAGATGTATCCCTAGGGGGGAACATCTAGAAGAGAAACAATCGATCGCTCAGGTTAAGCGAAACGATAATCCTAGATCGACTGGAGAGTCTTTCGTAGAGGATCTCGCTGTGGTTGCGCAACCCCAGCTAGAGGAAGTAAAGGGAATAAGTCCCAAAATTACAGATACGGCGGAAAATAAGTTCCCCGAAACCCGCGGGAATAAGTCCCCGGGAAGCCGAAGGAATAAGTCCTTCGAAGCCTGAGGGAATAAGTCCCCAGGAAATGACAGAGACATTGAATGTCCTAGTCAATGACGGATCAAGTGTAGGCGCTTACACACTTGATCTGATTGCGCCTCCGAAGTTAACTTCGGAGATCACTCAGTTGCCAACGCTCGAACATAAAAGGTTCTTGCGTGATCCGCGTAGTGGCAAAGTCAAGCAGATCTGCGTACCCGTCGCTGACGACGAGTGTGTAGCCGACATAAGGTCAGCAACAGTGTTCACTGAGAACGAGAGAGTTCTCAGTAGTTCATCTATGGACGAGAGTGTCCTGGATGAAAAGACACGAATTGAGCGATATGACTCCCAATCATGGGAATCGCTCATGACAAATCCTCTCTATGAAGATTTGGTTGAATTCAAGGATGTATTCCCTAAAACTGTTCCGTGCGAATTACCGAAGGATAAAGGTATTCGACACGAGGTCGAGCTTAAACCAGGCTCGAAGTACTGTGTCATGAAGCAGTGGCCACTGCCTCGTGAACAAGTACTTGCGATCGACAAGTTCTTTGCCGATCGTTTAGTAACTGGTCATGTGATGAAATCAACCTCCCCACATAGCTCTCCGACCTTCTGTGTGCGAAAAGCAACAGGAGGGTCGCGGATAGTGCACGCGTTCAACAAATTGAACGCTGCAACGGTATCGGCTCAGACGCCGATACCGAGGAAGGACGTAATCATTGATGGTATGTCAAAGAGTACCATCTTTTCGTCCATGGATTTGATGGATGGCTTCTATCAAATCCTTATGCGAGAACGGGATATACCCTATACCGCAGTTAGCACGCCTAGCGGCATGCTCTGGGAATGGCTAGTAATGCCACAAGGGCTCAGTAATGCCCCTGCCACGTTCAACAGATGTGTATCACATCTGTTGAGACCAGTACGAGAATTCGCGCCGAGTTATTTCGATGACGTATTCATCCATAGTCGAGCTATGGATGGAAAGTCGGACGTTGAGGTCCACAGGTACCACGTCCTACAGGTTCTTACAATCATGCGAAAGCATCAATTGTATGCAAACCTCAAGAAGTGTATATTTGCAGCAAGCGATATACCACTTCTTGGGTGCATCGTTGGTAAGAACGGTGTACGTCCTGATCCCGAAAAGATCAAGGCGATCACCGACTGGCCTGTGCCGGTTGATGTCAAAGGTCTTCGAAAATTCCTTGGGCTAGCGGCGTATTTGCATAAGTATTCACGCAATTATGCCGAGATGACTGTGCACCTCTCTCGTTCGTTGGAAAGAACGAGAGGTGGTTATGGAACGCTGAATGTCAGCGCTCCTTTGAGGGTATCAAGCAGATCTTGATACAATCCCCATTCCTAGCAATAGCCGATCAGGACAGGCCATTTCATGTGGTCTGTGATGCGAGCGATTTCGAAATCGGCTGTGGATTAATGCAGTACGATCTTGAAGGTGTAGAACGCGTCGTCCGCTATCAGTCGTGTCAGATGCAACCAGCTGAGCGGAACTATCCAGTGCATGACAAGGAACTCCTTGCCATGAAGTATGCACTCGCGAAGTTCAGAGTCTATCTATTAGGAGATAGACCCTTCATTGTTTACACTGACCATGCGTCATTACGCACGGCAGTGAACAACCCGCACCTTTCACAACGAATGGCGCGGTGGTTGTCATTCTTTGCGGAATACAACTTTACGGTCGAGTACAAACCAGGACGACTTAATGTCGTCGCTGATGCACTCTCACGTCGTCCCGACTTTGGACCAGTCGTGAAACCCAACAGTGAGACAGCCACTGTTGCGGTTATGACGTCCTCAGTACCATCTTCAACGTTGCATGATGATGTGAGGCGGGCGTATGCCAAAGATGGTGAGATAGTGAAGTTGTTGACACACCTCTCACAGCCATCTCGATAATCGTTGAAACGATTGTCGTCTGCGTATCGATCTGCATCAGATCGATACACTACTCGCAACGATTTACTGTATTATACAGCCGTTTCTGGTGACACACCACGTGTTTTCATTCCAGATGATACTGATCTGCGTTTGCAGATCGCGTTCAAGTATCACGATGCTATTATAGGAGGACATCGTGGCCTGGAGAAAACATATCTCACGGTGAGTCGAGACTTTTACTGGCCCCGCCAGTATCAGTTGGTGCGAAAGTATGTTCGCGCATGCGAAGTCTGTCAACGAGTGAAGTCGAGTCCTTCA